TTTTTGTATATTACTTTCGTAAAATATATTGTGTTAAATAAATTCTTTTTTGATCAACCGTTATTAATAAACCAACGTGAAGGCATGTAAATATATCCACACGCACAGACACACACATATGATATACTATATATATTTATATATGACATATGGCATCTAACTTTGAATATATTTATCATTAGTGTATACACAATGCACATAAATTAAACACAGATGATACTTACATTCTTTATATATATATTATACATCTCCCTCTTTCTTTCTTTCTTTCTTTCTTTCTTTCTTTCTATCTATCTATCTATCTATCTATCTATACATACATACATACATACTTACATATGTGTATGTGTGCGTGATTTTCTATTTTACTTTTGGAAAAAATTATTTTATGTTAAAGAAATGCTTTTTTGTTCAACCTTTATTTATGTACCAACGTGTACGTATGTAAATATATTCACACACATACACGCACATACGCACACACGCACACACACGCATATATATATATATATATATATATATATATATATATATACTACATATATTTATATATATATATGTCATATAACTTTCAATATATTTATCATATGTGTATACAATACACAAAATTAAACACAGATAAATTAAACACATACACACACACACACATATATATATATATATCCATATTTTATATATATTATACCTATCTATGTATCTCTGTATATATATATATATATATATATATATATATATATATATATAATCATCGTTAATTTTAAGAAGATATGTTTTAATTTGTCTAAACTGATAATTCAATTATAATTCTTTCCATAATTTCAAAACTGCTTGCTTGCAATCCCCAAATCTTATCCCGTTCCTTGCTTTCTAGCTGCAGAAATGTTACCATTTCACATCAACAACAGTAGCAGATGTCATATTTTTGCAACTACAAAACGATACCCGAAATAAGTCGCCGTCGAAATAGACAATCCCCCGCAACATTTGTTTTTTCTGATTAAACTATAAATGATACTAATAAAGACGGAACTACTCTTGGAAATCATTAATTTGCAGGATTAATATAAACATATTTCGATTAATATGCAGATGATTAACAAAACGAACAAACAAAAAAAGCAGTGAAAGTGGCGGCAGCAGAAGAAGCAGTGTTGCGAAAGGAATTTCGAAATGATAGAATTGTTGCAACGAATTCTTGTAAATATGAAAGTAATGTCAATTACGATGCTTGTGTCTTTTTTTATCGAGCCACCAGGATTTTTAAAAACGAAATAATAATATTATTGATAATAACAATAATAATAATAATAAATAATGATAATAATAATATTAATGATAAATAATGATAATAATAATAAAAATAATGATAATGATAATAATACATTGTAATTTTAACACATCTAGAACTGATAATAATGAAACGACCAATAATTATTTCAATTATTTCAGTTGCTAAATCAAAGTTTAAATTGTTGAAACTTTTGTGAAGGAATTCGATCTTATCAGGATTTTAAAACAAAAAAAGCAACACATGGTAGAAAGTAGGCGATTTTTGATGTTCATTTTTAAATATATGTTTTTTGCTGTTCGGTATGGTGTAAATAGTAATTTCTGACTAAGCGCACATTATTATTTGGCACAAGGCTACAAATATGTAGCAAGTGGTGGTGGTCGAAATCTAGTTATGGGCTGTGTTCCTTCAGTTCGTGGGCGATAACAGTTCTCCACAGGTTTCCGTATTTTTGTTCCTCCCTCAACAATAAAATTTATGCTAGTCATAAGTAAATCTTATTCGTTTTCTCGAACTCTCTCCTTTTCTTTACATATTTCTTTCTTTCTCGGTATGTTCAAAACTATCTTAGTCACTTCTTTATCTATCTATCTATCTATCTATCTATCTATCTATCTTAGTCTGTTTCTATCTATCTATCTATCTATCTATCTATCTATCTATCTATCTATCGTATTCTGTGAGTCATGACGAATAGTGGTCCTTACCCCATTTTCAAGCTATTTAAATTCTGAGTTATCCTTTCGTAGACAGGTTGTTTAGCATGCCTTCATTTTCCATTTGCATTAGTGAGATGTGAGAGCAACTATTTTAACCGGAATTCAAACTCAAGCAGCCCATTCAAACGTCCATGTCTGCGCATATGACCATTTGTTGATACCGAGGTGATTTATTTGGGACGTTTCTCAAACCAGTTCGTTTGTGAGTAGGATCCTTACGAGATGCTCACCTAATATTGCTTTTTACCAGTCAAAACTAAAGCCGTTGTTTATCGCAGTGCTTGGAAAGAAAGCGTGGTCGTCTCATCACACCGCAGAGGTTCCATCAGTGACCATGGCTTTTGCAGCAGTTTTTTCCCCTCTTTCCAAATAGCAAACCCTACTTAAAAGAAGCAGTGCCCTCTATCCCCAAAATACGAGTTCCAAGGAACGAGGCTGCATAAAATGTGTATATTCAGAACGGGACTACTTCGAAGGACGTTAAATCGGGAACTGATATGTGATGTAGTTTTATGTTTATAGCACCAGTCCCTATACTTTTTGACCAGGCCTCTTATTTCTGGGAAAACTTAGAGGAATTCGATATGGTTAATGTGAATCTCTGATTGGTGTATGGAATAGTTTTGTGTTTCCAGATATCAACAGAGTTCGTTCTCGATAACAGTTAAAATCCATAATTTTTTTTTTCAAGGCACACAGGTCCTTCACGCTTGCGAGATTAGCACAGCGCAATCAAACTCGATTGCCTCACATCTGGTATTGTAACACACGCAACAATGTAAAATATAGTAAATATCAATAACTACTTGATTGCTGAGGTGGATGCATAGACCTTCACTAGCGTCGTTTTTTTTATCCCAGCTATAGAGTCGGAAGTTCAGGTGATAAATTCTCATGACAGGCAGTCCTTCTCCACTTAGGGGTTTGGTTAATCTACGCTTGGAAATCCTACTTTAAATTCGGCTTTGAGACATATTCTTTTCGAGCGGGTGCACTATAACCTAGTTTCAGCGAACTGTCTCTACAAGTTATGCATCTCCCTCGGGGCAAGATTAGGCTTAATTCCTGACGACTGGGAAGAGGGAGCTGGACTAATTTTAGCTTTTGGTTTTATGTGCACCAAAAGCTCTCACTTAAAATCCGCTTTGTGCCTCATTCAGCTCGTGTGAATGTAGGAATAAATAACGCCTCACGTAAAATATTAGCTGTGTGTCGTGAGTGCCACAAAAATATTTTCAAACTGACACCAAAGATCATAAGTGATTCGGACTAGTTGCCTTCATCTTGATTGTTATCTACAAGTAAGGAAGTTATAAACTCCGTCCTTTTCAACACGCCAGCCATTAAACTCATCGGATTTTAAAACCAAACGCTTTATTCATTCGTATTCCGTCATTCTGTTCCAGGATAATTTAATTCCGTTATTCCTGTTCGGAAATATTTCGTATATGGCCAGCGGAACGAGAACTGTCATCTTGGACTAAACAAAGAGTTTGATTTTAAATTCTGAGGATATTTCCGAAAGTTTTATTTAGTAGATTGTTCTAATTCCACGTGTCATGCCTTTTCTGGATATCTAAATGTTATGGGGTCCACCCCTTTTTCCTACAAGTGGACTCGACCAGAGTGTTACTTGGACTGCTGCCGTTAAATACCCAGAGTCAGTCAAAGTAGGGAGTAGACGTTGACAGACAGTGATTGTGATTGAGTTGAAGGTAGAGTAATAGTGTGAGGTAACCGCTTTGTAGGAGTCACAGTTGCGAGCACGTAGGCTCAGAAGGAAGTCCTACTTCGAGACTGAATTTCCCAGACTGTATATATATTATTATTGCTACTAACCACGTTTCTGGATCTACTAACCGTATTACCAATTGTATTATTGTGTAAATACATTTATTTGTTATATTTCATTCCTGTGTTTGTCATTCATTGGAGACCGAATTTCATCTCGGAATCCACAACACTAAATTTCCATTATTTCCCATTAGTAACTAAACTCTCCAAGTTTTTGTCATTGAACTCACATCTCTTTGGGTCAAGTCAGTGGATCATTTCAACCAAGGATTTTATCCACTGGGTCATGTGTCCTTGGGGACGTCAGTGAATTAATTTTGGGGACTTATAAACCTAATGTCTCAGTAACCGTTCTTTTTACCAGAGCTCATATTACAATTTTTAGAGAAAAATAACAATAACAAAAATTGTAATTTACGCATTTACCGTGGACTATATATAGGGTTCGACGAAATCCCAACGTATATCATCTGAAGAAAGCCAGTTGGTGCAATAGCCGAAATGTCGTGAACATGATAACAAAGATGAGGACAACCGTTCGATCAAGATAAATAGTGCAAATAAGATCTGTGTTGCCTATCATTGGTCTGTGAACTAGGATATATGTCTATCATTGGTCTGTGAACTAGGATATATGTCTATCGTTCGTCCGTGCATTGAATGTTGCTGCCAAATCGGGTCTGATGCTTTTTCTATATATCTAGTGATTCTTGATAAAATCCAAAGAGAAATCTGCAATGTGATCGGTTCTGGCATCTCGGCTTCAGTCGCTTTCTTATTGCTTCAATATAACTTCGCTGCACGTTTTCTGTAAATGATTTCAAAATAATTGTTTTCGTGAGCTTTTTGCTGTAGTACCTGGACTTCACGAATTTAAGCGCAATACTAGATAGGCAGTTAGGTCCCATAATATCATTGTTGATATTTATAGGGATTAACATTCGACCAAACTTTGAATATTGCTGCCACATATAGTCTGATGCTCCAGCTAAATATGTAGAGATCCTTGATGAAACCCAAAGAATATTTTGCAATGTTAGTTGTCCTCACATAGGTTTTCGGCTTCAGTCACTTCCCAGCAACCGTAATATAGCTTACCTGTGCATTTTCATAGTAATTATTCTAAAGAACTTTCCTCTGTTGTATCTAGACTTTATGAATTTAGGCTGAGTACTAGATTGACGGTAAAGTATCATGTTTACAGTTGAAATAGCTAGTTGCAAGCGTAGGTTCTATGCTAATAGTTTCTTCTCCCGCAGGTCTCGCTTTTCTGTCAACTCAGTCAGTTAAGAGCCATACGTGATACATGGCAGAGTGGTAAATTGAAACATGAAAGTGACGGTAGTATCTATCTATCTATCTATCTATCTATCTATCTATCTATCTATCTATCTATCTATCTATCTCAGACAGTTCTATCTATCTATCTATCTATCTATCTATCTATCTATCTATCTATCTATTTCAGACCGTTCTATCTATCTATCTATCTATCTATCTATCTATCTATCTATCTATCTATCTATCTATCTCAGACCGTTCTATCTATCTATCTATCTATCTATCTATCTATCTATCTATCTATCTATCTATCTATCTATCTATCTATCTAGTACAGTCTGTTCGTATCTATTTATTTATTTTACTAGATCATCTTGCTCGCTGACATTTCTGTTGTCATTACAACTTTGTATACGCTTTATATCATAAAGCAACCAATTCAATTTCTTCTTCTCACACGTTATACCAATGGCAATAAAAATAATAATAGATTGTCAATTTCATTAACCTATTTCGTTCACTGCTAACACCTTTTAGCTGGAAAAGTTACCCGCCTATTAACACACACCATCTCGTCGTCATGATACAAATATATCGACTTTTGTTTTTACGCTGGTTAGTCCTAAATCTTCCTCCATTATGAGGTGCATGTGTTCCTGATGTAAGAATTTAATGCTCGATTTTTGTTTTATTATTAAGTTTGGAGTTGAAATCTCCCGCAGCGGGAAGCAAAATAATTGAGTGACAATGTTATATTTATACGGTGGCTGGGCGGGGAGTGGGGTGACATCTTCCGTATTTTTGGTAATACTAATACTACTACTACTAATAATAATATATGTTATATGCTTTCAGTGCGTAGGTGATCATGCCGTTCCAAAGATTCCTAGTTTCTACTTTTTATTATCTCTCCCTATCTCTCTCTCTCTCTCTTTATATATATATATATATATATATATATATTTATAGATATACATGCATATATATATATATATATATATACATATATATATATATATATATATATATATATATATATATATATATATATATATATATATATATATATATATATAAAAACTGAAATAATAAAACGAAAGAATATTAATATACAATCCAGTGTGTCTGAAGATTTTAATTTTTAATATTTTATTGATCAAAACATATATATATATATATATATATATATATATATATATATATATATATATATATGTTTATCTATATTATATATTCATATATATACAATATATTGTATATATAGGTTTAAATATATAATATATTGTATATCTATATATACAAATATATAGATATATTTGTATGTATTTTGTACTTTATATTATCTCTCTCTCGCTCTCTCTCTCTCTCTATATATATATATATATTTGCATATATATTTTTACTTTTTGTTATCTCTCTCTATCTCTGTCTATATATATATATATATATATATATTTTTGCATATATATTTTGTACTTTTTGTTATCTCTGTCTGTCTGTCTGTCTCTCTCTCTCTCTCTCTCTATATATATATATATATACATACACACGCACACTTTTGTATATATACATTGTACTTTTTATTATCTATCTATCTCCATTTATACTTTTGTATAAAGACTTTGTACTTTTTATTATCTATCAATTACTATAGGTTATTGAGAAAAATCGTGAATTTTTTTCTTCTTTACATTCTCCGCAGTTGGGAATTCAGATTTTGTTTACTTAATCTGATATCCTGACAATTAATCCATAGATGGAAAGAGTAGACAACAGACTCATGCCGTCCCCTGGGCATTTGCGCGAAAGTGAACGCAACAGGACAACAGCAATTTAGAACCCGGCTTGCCCATTCCACATTCAGCATCGCTATCCACTACACGTCCCGATCTTTTCATATAACATATATGTCGTATGTAAAAGTTTTACGTCAGCTTTCTTTGGATAATTTTTCTTTTAATGATTTTAAATCCGAATTCTTTCTTCCAAGGAACAATAGCGTTAATTGTGGAGATAAGAATTCGAGATTATTCAAACTGAAAAAGAAAAAAAAATTAACCAATGTAATTTAAAAAAAAATCTTACATGCTGTCATTTTTTGACAGTAAAGATGAACATTATTATAATAATATTTTTTTTCTGTTTCTCTGTCCGTAACTTCTGATATACTCCTGCCTAAACAATAAACTATACAAAATTAAACCAACTACAGTGGAAGCTCGGTTCTTGAATTTAATTCGTTCCTGAATGACGTTCATAACGCGTAATGTTCGTAAACCGAAACTATTTTCCAATCAGAAATCAATGTTGAGAAAAAAATGTCATCGTACAATAACATTGTCAAAGAAAAGCACGCCACAACACAAAAATGTATACAACATGGCGGTCGACTAAAAAAAAAAAATCCGTTCAGTTTAACTTGATTCGGCAATGTTGTTTGAGAACCAAAATTTTGTTCGATAACCGAGGCATTTTCATCTCAAATTTCGACAGGTGAGACGTTCGCGAACCTAGGTTGCACTTTATAGGAGAAACACCAAACTAGAAGAGAAGTGATTAGGTCCAGGCGCCATATTGGACCTCCTACCATAACTCATTCGTATATCCTAAAAATAGGAAGAAACTCCTGTGTGGCAATGACTGGATCCGTTTCCCATAAAACAAATACTGACAAACTGCAGCAATTTTAATTCCGTCCGCTTAAAATACAATCAGCTAGCAGACTTAAAAACCCTTTTCCAAAATACTGATTCACTTTACATATTCCACATTCTAAGAGAAATCAAATATTTTCAAAATATAATTAAATATATATATATATATATATATATATATATATATATATATATATATATATAATAATAAATTTTGTCTATTATTTTATGAAACATATATGAATGAAAATGCTGCCTAAATACACACACACAATATATATATATATATATATATATATATATATATATATATATTGTGTGTGTGTATTTAGGCAGCATTTTTCATTCATATATGTTTCATAAAATAATATAGACATTGTTGTCCGTGTATTGCTTAATATATTGTACAGTATTTGTCATCTTTGATAATAGCTTATGTAAGCCGAAATTGGATTAAAAAATATGTATCAATATTGTGGTTTTCTTTCTTCGTTTAATGATAATGCTGTTAAGCTTATCAGACGTTATGAAAAGAATTTACATACAATAAATAGACAACACTTGTCTATATTATTTAATGAAACATGTATGAATATATATATATATATATATATATACAAGCATAACTAACGGTACTCTTACTATTTAAAATAAAATAAAATGTTTAAACTATTTACAGTGTTCGGACTGTTGTCTTCATCTTTGTTGCTATATTCACAACATTTCGGCCCAGTGGATAAAAGCCTTGGTTGGATCCAGTGACTTGAACCAACGGATTAGGAGTTCAATACCTGGCTACTGCAGTGGTGAACAAACAACTTGGATAGTTGACTTAAAGGAAGATATCTGAGAGATCCGGAAGAGGCGTGGCACGTAGAACTAGGACAATCTGCCAAAGTGGACGAAATAAAGGGTCCAGTTCGAAATCCCAATCACCTGAAGAAGGCCGGAGCGTATAACGGCCGCAACGTCGTGAATATGGCAACAAAGATGAGGACAACAATCCGAACAATGTAAGTAATGACAATACTTCATCTCAGAAATCGTGACAGATAAAAAACAAAACAAAACAACCCCCCCACAAAAAAAACAGACTTAATGACTGTTTAAATCCAAGGCTTTATTTAATTAAAAACATTAAATTTCGGCATGAAATAAAACAAAACAAAACTTTTTATATGCTAACGTAAACCAAACATTAACAAGTGACTCCTGAGTTAATTCGAGCCATCGACCTAACTGTAAGCAAATAAGCGATATATCTATTAGGCGACTATTGTGCCGCTTGTAAATGGTAAGATTTCAGTGGACTGATTATGGCACTGACCAGTGAGTAACAACATGATCCTTGAAATATTTACCAATTCACGTATCTTTAACGGGTACTATGCTAATTAAATATATTGATTGAGTGAATTGTTTTCTACGGCTTATCAACCCTTTGCACGTTATTTAAAGCCAGAAAACAGTTATAGATTGTGAAACTTTGGGGGGGGTAATAATGTTTTACTGATACAAGTATTACTAATTAACCCATACCTGGGGGAGTAGAGGTATATTCAAGCCTTTTCCATAGGTATTTGCGCGTAAGTGAATATAACGAACCCAACTGGAATTGGAACTCCGATTAACAATTCCGAGCCATTATCCATTAGACCAACCACACATCCAAGCGTACAGCACTTTGTATTCCCAAGGGGTGACCCATCTAAGTACTGATCAGGCTCCCTTGTTGAACTTCAGTAATAGTCCGGGAATAGGTGTTTGAGACCTGGCAAAAACTTTGCTTCAAATCGGTCTTCCTGTCATAGGACCATCCAAGAGGCTGGCGAGACTTTCCAGTCCAACCGTCAGCATGAAGAGAGGATCTGCGGCACGCTGTCAAGAGGCCATGCCTCGCCCAGTCACGCCTACCACCCACACTTCTCTATGACGCCTGCTTATGACTCTTCAGGAGTAGGCTGGGCCTTCACTGCCATGTCCGCCACAGACGCCGCTGCCACCAGACTAGAGGTATGGTATGGGGCACCCAGTGAGTATCGAAGTCACTAATTGTTCTAGCTAGACAAGCTTGCTAACCATTAAACCCCGTTGAGGTGTCCCAGACTAGAAATATGAGTAAAGGTAAAAAAAAAAAAAAAAAAAAAGACGAGAAATATATCTATTTACACTATTTACTTTGCTCGTGCTGTTGTTTTCATTTTGTTACAATCACCACGTTTCGACCGTTCTATGCTGCGTTCTTCCTTTTATTTTTTTTT